TTATTTCTTCACTATTATCTCTCTCGAATATGAGCTGAAGTTGGTCGAGTTTTTTTGCATGAAAAGTGCATGAGAAGTTCACACGCACGGTAATTTAAAGAGGTGAAAACCAAGGGTGAATTTGGGTCTAAGAGGTGAGCGATGACACGATCTCCTTCGATTACAAGTGTCAAAAGCACGGCTGAAGTGTTGGGCAATTTTGCTTAGTCACGGCTGATGTGGCGCGCATGCACGGCTTAGTCACCTTTCGTGCGTCCGTGGCTCGCCATGTGTGCAAGCACATAGGTGATTCATCACCCCACTTGCACACCTAACCTTTATCCTTGCATTTTTCCTCACGGTAAAATTAAGGTGGAAGTTTGGTCTGATCATGCTACTAAGCATCGCCTAAGTGCGTGCTTAGCGAGTACTTAACGCGCGCGCTAATGCGCTGCGCAGTGCTGCGCGAGATGCGCGTTCATGTGCGTGGCTGTGTGCACGGCATGCGTGCATGCGTGCGCGTACATGCGTACGCTTCGTATACCTTGCATTCTCTCTCAACTTAGCTTAGTTTCAACCTCGAATTTCATTCCGAACATGCTAAACTATTAATAATTAATCCCGATTAATAACGTCCGTTTATAAAATAAACGGTTTGGAAATTAATTATTGAACTTGACTCGGTTAATAATTAACCGGATAACCCTTCCGACTTAACGTCAAACGGATTTGCTGAAAATGAACGGAATTAAGAAAAGACAATACATCATTTATATTAACAAAAATTGAGTTATTACAATCTACCCTCCTTAAAATATTTCCGTCCTCGGAAATATAAAATAAAACATATATACATGAAAATATACATATCAAAACTGAAAATCGGGAAAACGAGCGCGAATGTCTGCCTCTTGCTCCCAAGTGGCTCCGTGGCGATCCCTGAATACGAACGAGGGGAACATTACGCTTCCGGAGCCGTCGAACCTGTCGGTCCAACACAGCTACCGGTCGCTCCTCGTAAGATAAATCTGGATGAATCTCAATATCAGTATGAGGAATGACATGATCGGGGTCGCACACGTACTTGCGTAACATAGATACATGAAATACATTGTGAACACTGGATAACTCGGGAGGTAAGGCTAGACGATACGCAACATCGCCTACTCGCTCAAGTACTTCGAACGGGCCAATGAACCGAGGGTGCAACTTCCCTCTTTTCCCGAATCGAATAACTCCGCGAATAGGACTTACTCTAAGAAAAGCGTGCTCGCCAACCTCGAACTGGATATCTCGTCGATGATGATCGGCGGTTGATTTCATTCTACTCTGAGCTGTTCTGAGTCTCTGCCGAATCAACTCGACTTGCTCTGTTGTCTCCTCGATCAGCTTCGGACCGAGTACTCGACGTTCGCTGACGTCGTCCCAATAAAGAGGGGAACGACATTTACGACCATATAGTGCCTCATAAGGAGCCATCTGAATAGAAGAATGATAACTGTTGTTGTATGCGAACTCGACGTACGGCAATAACGACTCCCATTTAGCACCTCTGTCAATAACCAAAGCGCGCAACATATCCTCCAGTGTCTGAATAGTTCGCTCCGTCTGTCCGTCTGTCTCAGGATGGTAGGCTGAACTGAATGCTAGCTTTGTACCCATTGCTTCGTGTAAACTCTTCCAGAATCTACTGGTGAATCTGGGATCTCTGTCTGATACGATAGTAACGGGTACTCCATGGAGTCGGACGATCCCACGGACATAAATCTCAGCCTACCTATCCAAAGACATACTCATCGATACTGGTAAAAAGTGAGCTACTTTAGTCAATCTGTCGACCACGACCCAGATAGCGTCGTGATGTTCAGTCGACTTCGGTAACCCTGTGACAAAATCCATAGCAACCTCCTCCCACTTCCACCTCGGAATCGGCAGTGGTCGTAGAAGGCCTATGGGACTCTTATGTTCGGCTTTGACTTGTTGACAGGTTAAACATCTTTTGATAAAGTCGGCTACGTCTCTCTTTAATCCTTTCCACCAGAACGGCCCTTTCAGGTCGTGATACATCTTTGTACTTCCTGGATGGGCTAGATAGGGTGCGATATGGGCCTCAGATAAAATCTCCTTCCTCAATGCTTCGACCTTCGGCACCACAATCCTGCCACGAAACTCCAAGGCCCCATCAGTGCCTCGGTGAAAACCCTCGACGCCTCCGGCACGAACCTTGGCATCAATCGCACGAACAAACTCATCTGAAGCCTGCTCTTGCCGGATTCTCTCCCTCAACGTCGGTTGAATTTGCATAGAACTCACACTCCCCGTACTGGCTGTAGGAAGTGCATCGATTAACTGGATCTGCATCCGGGCGAACTCATGAATCAACTGACTCTGCTGAGTAACAACATATGTCAAGTCACCCTTCACCTTGCGGCTCAGGGCATCAACAACTACATTCGCCTTCCTCGGATGGTACTGGATCGTGCAATCATAATCCTTGACGAGCTCTAACCAACGGCGCTGTCTCATATTGAGTTCCTTCTGAGTAAAGATATACTGTAAGCTCTTATGATCAATGAAGATTTCACATTGACCGCCGTATAGGTAATGTCGCCAAATCTTGAGAGCATGAGCAACTGCAGCTAATTCCAAGTCGTGCGTCGGGTAGTTCTGTTCATGTGGTTTAAGTTGGCGTGAAGCATAAGCAACGACCTGGCCATCTTGCATAAGTACACATCCTAAACCCTACCTCGAAGCATCACTATAGATGGTGAAGCCCCGAGAAGAATCTGGGATAGTCAACACTAGTGCCGTCGTAAGCCTCCTTTTCAGCTCCTGAAAACTCAACTCACAACGGTCTGACCATTCGAACTTTACAGACTTCCTCGTCAATTGGGATAAAGGGAGGGCAATCTTCGAGAATCCCTCAATAAACCTGCGATAATAACCTGCAAGGCCGAGGAAACTACGAACCTTGGACGGATTCTTTGGTGCTGACCAATTCTGAACTGCAGCAATTTTGGAAGGATCAACTTCAATACCTGCTGTAGTAATAATGTGACCAAGAAAAGCCACTCGCTGAAGCCAAAATTCGCACTTGGAGAACTTTGCATATAACTTCTCGCGTCTAAGGGTCGAGAGAACGGCCCTCAGGTGCTCCTCGTGCTCCTTCTGGCTCTTGGAATATATAAGAATATCATCGATGAAGACAATAACGAACTGGTCGAGAAAAGGATGAAATACACGGTTCATCAAGTCCATGAATACTGTCGGGGCATTACTGAGGCCAAACGGCATAACCACGAACTCGAAGTGACCGTATCTCGTACGAAAAGCTGTCTTGGGAATGTCTGATTCCTTGATTTTCAGCTGATGGTAGCCTGAATGCAAATCGATCTTGGAAAACACACAGGCACCCCTCAACTGATCGAATAAATCATCGATCCTGGGAAGCGGATATTTATTCTTGATCGTCAACCGGTTAAGATCCCGGTAGTCAATACACATACGCATGGATCCGTCCTTCTTCTTGACAAAGAGAACGGGGGCTCCCCAAGGAGAAACGCTCGGTCGTATAAAACCGAGATTCAGCAACTCTTGAATTTGGGTCTTTAGTTCCTGTAATTCTTTAGGCGCCATTCGGTACGGTGCCTTTGAAACGGGTCCGGCTCCAGGGATAAGATCAATAGAAAACTCCACCTGTCGGCTAGGTGGACCTCCAGGAAGCTGATCTGGAAACACGTCCACGAACTCACGAACGATAGAAATGTCATGAGGTGAACGCGCCTTTGGCTCACTTTCAACGAGGCTCACAAGGTAACCCTGGCAATCACCCCGTCGAAGGATCTTTCTGGCTTTAGCCATAGAAATAACATGTGGCAGAGTACGAGTCCTGGAGCCGTAATAAGTGACCTGATCATCTCCCGGAAGATAAAGAGTAATCTACCGGTCGTGACATCGAATATCTGCGTGAAATCCGGTTAGCCAATCCATACCGAGTATGAGGTCGAAATCCCTCATCTCGATAATATAAGCATCAGTAATCATAATATGGCCGCCGATGGAAAGGCTGAGATCGGTGGCTCTAGCATCAGTCACTATCTTTCTTCCCGAGGCTAAACTCACCTCGAGAGGATCGACAGCGGTAGTGGAACGAACCCCAATAGTTTCAAGACATCGACGTGATATAAAGGAATGGGTTGCTCCAGTATCAAATAAGGCATAGATAGGCACATCATTAAGAATAATCATCCCGAACATGGTACCTGGGTGCTGGTCGGCCTCCCTCTGGTCAACTGCAAAAACACGGGCCTGCTGTCTGCCGCGTGGCTGTTGCTGGGGTCGTGGTGGCTGCTGCCTGGCTTGCTGTTGTTGAGGTTGTTGTGGCGGTTGACGTTGTTGCGGTTGTTGTTGCAGTCGTTCTGGACAGTTGGCGTTGAAATGACCTGGCTGGCGGCAAAAGAAACAAACATTCTGGCCCACAAGACACTCTCCACGGTGGCGCTTTCCACAAGTGACACAAGGTAGGGTCAGTTGTTGTCGGGGGCGGTTCTTGCGATCGTCTGGACCTCCTCTGAACTTTCTCTTCTTCTGGTTCTTTGATGGTTGGACATCTTTGGGCTGAGTTGATGGCTGGGCAACTGGCTGGGCTGGTGTCTGGGCGGCTTCTCGTCGGATACTGGCATCAACTTCTTGTGCAATGGCAACTGTGCGGGCGTAGGTTTGGACGCCGTGACCTACGATGTTGTGGCGGACTGCTGGGCGAAGTCCGTCAGTGAAACGATGGGCTCTCTTCGCTTCCGTACCTACAAGATCTGGTACAAAAGCTCCGAGACGGGTAAACTCTCTTTCATACTCGTCAACAGAACGAGTACCTTGGAAAAGTGCCAAAAACTGGCGTTCCATGTCTACTCGGTAATACGAGGGATAATACTTTTCTCGGATCAGCTCCTTGAACTGGTCCCACATACAACCATCTTTTTCACCGGGACGCATACTCCAATAGGCTTGCCACCAGAGTCTGGCATCACCGGTCAGCTGGATCTGGGCACATAACATGCGGTATCGATCATGGCAGTCCATGACCTCGAAAATCATCTCGAGACCCTGGATCCATTCATCTACAATACGAGGATCTCCTTGGCCGGAAAACTTTTCTGGTTGGTAGTCGCGAAACTGTGCGACTACTGTGGCCTGGGAGCGTTCCTGGTGTTCTGGATCTCTACGAGGAGACATCTAAACATTGAAATGTTTAATAGGATTAATAACCTGAAAGATTAACTGACTGTTTACTTAAGTACACAAATTTCTTGACGAGTTGCTGAATAACCCGAGAATACTAAAGTCAAACTATCATGTAACTGGGATAATCAACCATGTTCTGAAACATACTCGAGCATCCTACTGGTTTCTAGGGTCAATAATCTGGTACTCTGTACTGAGCATAGACTTAAATATTCGTTTATATATAACTGAAACTCAGCACTTACCTGATAGTCGGCGGGGCGTGAGCGTAGCGTGGTCGGGTCTTTTCTAAAAATTCCTGACTTAAAAGTATTCAGATACACCAAAAATGTGCTCTGATACCAATTTGTAACACCCCGCTAGCTTACTAAAATCAGAGTGCGATTTTCGCAATTTCTTTTCTAAAATTTACATTTATGTTTGCGAAACATAACTCGGGATGCTACATAAAATATTTCCTTTCTGTAAATCTGTTAACTTTATTAATTTTAAGCTTATTATGAAAAACGGATTATCATTATAAAACAAGCGTGTGATACTGTGTAAAACTAGATCCGAAAGCTCGGATCGTTATCTGAAAATTTACACGCTAGCTTGAAAGTCTGAAAACGTCAGCGGAAGTGAAACGTGGTAAATATATACATATCAACAGTCTGCAAAAATATAAACATATTTACATGTACTGGACCAGCGACCACCAGCTCCACTCACTCCTCCAGACCGACCCTGTCTTCTGAAAAAGAATCATAATAGTGGGAGCGTGAGTACTAAAAACACTGTACTCCGCAGAAACTCATACTAAAGTAAAACAGTAATAATAATTTCAATATCATGATCTAAAGCATATATAACTGAACTGTCATGTCATGTACTGTAACTGCGATCAACCGTAACTGCTACGGGATCGAATGCTGTATCTGACGGCTATAATATACTGCGCCGCGCCTATGTGCACACTCTAGTGGGCAGATTACGCCAATAGAACTCAGATGGTCTTACTTTGTCTAGCCTCACTGAGCAGGAACTGAATATACATACCCTGAACATGATAACTGTAATTATACTCAATGTAATACTTAGTCTGAGTTCCCATCTGAACTGCTAATGTAAGTGCTGCTGCTGATCACTCTGGAAAAATATACAAATAAACAAATATTAAGTACTACGCTCAGACTGACTGAAAATTAACTGTTAAGATGCTCGACTCGATCTAAATATTTAACTGGAATATTCTCGGGACATAACTTGACTGACAAGAAAAACCGGACTGAACTGATACCGGTGTACTGGACTGATTGGACTGAAAAATTAACTGAAATACTGTACTGGACTCGAACCGGGTCAGTAAATACTGAACAACTCCCAAACCGGTCTAAACCAGTCGGTTTATTTTCTGGCCGGACCGCCGGCTCGCTGTGGCCGGGCGGTCGGCGGCTGGCTGACCACCGGTTCGGTCGCTTGCGCCTGCTGGGC